ATTAACACATGCAATGTTACTCTTCTATAGTCACAGCTACTCAGGAGGCAGAGGTAGGAAGATTCCTTGAGCTCAGGATTTTGAGGGCAGCCAGGGCAACTCAGCAAGACTCATCTCAAGAAAAGTCTTTCAAATATGCTGTTAGCAGAGCAGACTTATGTAACAAAGAGTAGCATTACAAATCAGTTGAGACAAAATAACTGATCAGCCAACTGGAAAATACATTAGGCAAGGTTTTACCACATTTCTTACATAAAAATAAATTCCAATCTGATGAAATAAAGAACCAAACAAGGACTGCCTAGGGGTGGTGAAGTGGGATAGGGGTATTCCAGGAAAGAAAACTTGTGGCCTGTGTTCTCCTGACATAAACCTGGGTCTCCCCTGAGAGCCCTCTGCAGACCCTCTGCTGTGTGTGTGTGTGTGTGTGTGTGTGTGTGTGTGTGTGTGTGTGTGTGTGTGTTGCTGCTGCATCTGATTGACCATTTCATTCAGGAGCACAACGCTACACTGGGCAGAACTTTCCTCAAGAGAGAAAACATTTCTTTCTGGGAGGAATCCATTGTAAACCTCAATTTTTAATTTGCCTTAAAATGTTAATATTTTGATAAAACCAAATACCAGTATAAGAGAGCATTAAGGAAAGGATTAAAATCTATAGAATTAAAATCTGATACAATTTGGCAAGTAGAGTTTCAGAAATGAGTAATTTTAAGACCTGTCAACAATCCCATGACACTTTCTTTTGCACCTGATTATATTTTTTTCTGATTATATTTATATATAATACATTTATTATATATAATGGCACATTAAACTTACAAAGAGATATTTATTGATCAGATAATCTTCTGCACATCATTTTAAAAGTATTTTTATTATAAAAATTCTCAAATATACCTATATGAAGATGGACAGACCAGACAATGTATCTATTTACTTCTCTCTCACCTCCAACAAGTATCAATTCATGGCCAATTTCTTCTGTCTAGGTTTCTCACTTCCCTAAGATTCCTACATTATTTTGAAGAAAATCCCATGGTTCATGTAATTTCATCTATAAATACTTCATAATAGCTGTAAAAGGCTCAAGTCAACAACTTCTGACATTGCCAGTCCTAATGATAACCCACTACTATTATGGACTACTGGCCTATACTGGAATATTTTGCTGAATTCACACACCTAAAATATTTAAATGACAATGGAATACCCTTCTCTAATAAAACTAAACAAAAAAGGGGACACAAGTGAAGGACCATTTTGTATCTATATATCCAAAATAGGATAGATAGACAGCTACTTTCTCTTAATTCAATGAATAGAAAGATTGGTACTAACAGTATTTGTGGACAGGATATCATGTCTGCATCATGTACTATGTATAACCACTAAGAAGACAACAATATGCAATGTATTAATTATTGAAACTGTGCTAGTAATCGGTTTTGAAACTGTCTTGATGCTGTGTTTTTCAATAAATTATTTTTTAAAATACTTCAGAATAAAAATAGATACAAATGCGTAAACTTAACTTTTCTTATGTATAGCCCTATGCAGAAACATATAAATGTATGAATGGTAAATTCCTTAAATAAATTTTCAAAAGAGGCAAAAAAAACTGTTTAGAGCACTAGGTTTGCATCACTAACTCAGGACTTGGTTTGGATCCCCCTTCACCAGTCAACAGCTCTGTTTCTTCATGATTTTTTTCCTATAATTTTATTAAGAAACAAATAACAATGAGAGAGTATCAAAGCAAATTGGTAGGATAATTTCAATAATTAACACATTCCATACATTCTTCCTAGTGGTTAATTGCTGTACAAGATGCAGACATGATATCCTATTTACAAAGACTATTAGAACAAATCCCTCTATTCATCA